ACTGACGTCGGTGTTCCATTGTCTGCGTGGTGTTTCTCTCCCTCTATGTGCATTTTATTTCTTCATGGCAGATCACTGTTGCAGTTGGCAACTGGGCACTTGCCTCCTCATAGCCATGTCCCCCTAGGTGGCCAAACCATCTCATTTATTGTTTACTCTTTAATCAATGCATGTCAGGTTTGCGGCCTGTTTTTCTTCTAGTCACTTTATTTTTTTTTTAAATATCACTTCTTGTTACTCCAGAAACTCTTCTAAGAAATCTCGGGTCTCTTATGGTTTTACGGTCATTAATTTTAGTAAGGATATATTTTAGCTAATGTTATCATAAAGTTAACTCAAACAAAAATATTTGTTATGAGATTTGCTTTCGTCGACAAAGGCATACCTCCATGTATCAAAGGTGGTGTGATCTGTGTCAGTGTCTCGCCTACAACGTTGGAATTCTCAGTGTAAGCCAGATAATTTTTTTAATTATTAACTTTTTGAGTCCCAGCGTGTTTAGCATCACAGGCCCAAGGGGTAGTCAAAACAGACTAAAATTGGCGCATGCATCATGCGTTCATTGGGCTTCAAGGCAGTAACCTATGAATGTATGATGCGTTCCTTGGGACTCAAAGAGTTAATATTCATGATGCCGACAATGATCGACTCTGTATAAAACCAATGAATTCACATGCTAGTTGACAGTAGTTAGAATGCTTTCTTGCCATCTTGTGGTCATGTATTCGAATCCTCTTCGAGACGTATCTACCTAACTTTATATGTTAAATGCTGAAGTAAGAAACAAAGCACTTGGGACACTTCCATAAACACTCCATCCTCATCTTCAGTACCAAGCGCATAGTTCCAATTCCGATGAAACCAGCCACTGTCCAACTGTGTGTGCGTCGTACCGTTTCACTGAGTGTTGATCCCTTGGTCACTCTTCAAGGCAAACTTCTTTTCAGACCTTGAAGGTTTATGCGTTCCTCCGCACTGCTCAATTGTGCCCAAAGGAGACCTTACAACAGCTACCTTGTCATGCATGAATGCACCACCAAAAGGGTATAGAATAAGCAAGTCTTTATGCCTGTTAGTTTCCTAACACGCCGACATGACCTAAAAAAAATAAGAACATTAACAACCTCTGAATGGATTCTTGCCAGTCTGCACGGAGTATAGCTGTCTCCTAGTCTTATACATGTACCAGGAAATTGACTCACAAGAAAAACCTTCTGGTAGGAGTTTTATCACATTAATCATATCACTCGTGGAGGGAGGAATTGTTCTATGAACATAAGGCTTACACCGTTCACACAGTACTCCTCACTAAAGAGGCAAGAAAGTTAATGTACTTCACTTATTCTCGTGAAGTCACATGAAAAACAGCATTTACATATAAATCCAGTTGGAGTCTCTTTTGCTTACCTTTGATAAAGGACGCTTTTGAATCCCTTTCCAGGTCATTGTCGTCGATTCTGCACAAATTGTCAATAGCCTCTCCAGCCTCTAAAAGGGTACAGAAAGCATCAATTCAGAAATTAAAAAGTGAAATTTTTTACGGTGCAATGGACAAAAAATATCTACTGCTTTATCTTGTTGTTGTTGTTGTTGTTGTTGTTGTTCTTCTTCTTCTTCTTCTTCTTCTTCTTCTTCTTCTTCTTCTTCTTCTTCTTCTTCTTCTTCTTCTTCTTCTTCTTCTTCTTCTTCTTCTTCTGCTACTACTACTACTGCTTTCGCCCTTCATATACGATTTCAGCAAAATCATAAATCATCTGCTTTTACCACACGCTTGTTAAAAGCAATCATGTCGCAAAAGACAAACAACACACTATCTGATGGTTGCTTTGTAATTCTACATGGTGTTTTCAAACAGCAGTTCATTTGATTTGAGCAGTGAAAAGGGTTTCTATATATATGTCGGTTGACTTAGTGTAGAGACTGTGGCCCTCGCTCAGTACCGTAGTACCACCATTTTTTAATTTCTCCTGGCTCAGAAACAAAAAAGGGGGAGGACTGGTGGTGGTGCAAGTCGAGTACTGAAACTGAACATCTGCGGTGTGAAGAATAATAAACCAGACGGTCTAGATTTAGTACTGCGCGTGCTGTTTGGTTGCGATTAAAATAAACTTAAATTGTTTTTGGATCCCTGGCAAACCCAGTCTACAATAGTATGAGGTAAAGTCATGGGAAGTAAAGGCTGTCGGCGTGGTGTTGACCATATCCCTCCCTCCCGAGTGCCGACCCGTCTATAAAATATAGGCCCGCACAGGGAGCCGTTGTGGTGTCGCGGACCTTCAGGTCCTGACGGACTCTTTTCAAAAATGACCTTAGTTTCTAACTCGACCCAGCCTTAAACCGGTACCAGGTACATCCATGGGAAGTCAATGCGGTCTAGCCCTATTTGCCCAATATGCATAACGGCGTGGTAAAGGGTACTTTTATTTTTTTTGCTTCTACTTTACTTTACTGTGAGAGCCGATAGTAGTGTAGTGGCTAGACGATCTGAAGGTCATGGCTTCAAATCCCAAATAAGCCGGACTTTTTTATATTTTTTCTGTTTTTTTTTCTTTTCAAAAAAAGACTTTTGGCTCGCATTTCTGCTCAAGTTTAAACGTGTCCCAGTTTAGGACCTCGGAAGTAAAAGCGCTACTCCAAAAGGCGTTTAAACGGATCCTTTTACCTAATTATCGTCCCAGGCGGGTTCGGGCAGATTAGATAAGATTATAATTAATTAGTGAAAAGAGATTTCGATATTTTATAGACTCCAAAGCAATCCTCACAGAAAAAAGGTTTACTTCCTGCTTTTGCCTTACAAACTAAACTGTGGGGGGGGGGGGGATATGCTGTGGAGTTTTCCAAATTTGCCATAGGGGTTAGACACATTTTAGACGAACACAATTTCGCAACACCGCAATTCCAAATACAGTAAAACAAGAGGTTCAACTAACCCCCTTATGAGGGATACGGATGCACACATAAATTGTAAATACAAAATGTTTCCCGACACCTCTTATCTCATGAACATCTTTAGACTAAACGTGCATACTCAACAGTTCAAAGATTGAAGGTCCCTTTACAGTGGCACATCGGGCTTCTACTCAAATTTGGAATACAACAATCGGTCCTGGAAGGGTATTGTGGACAACCTCACGCTTATCGCCTTTAGTTAGAACTCATTTAAGGTCTTGTCGACCTGAGAGCCACGTTCATTTAAAAAAAAAATAATAATAATAATAATGCGAGTAGTTCAAAGATTAAAGTCATGTTTAAAATTTATGAAAAACAATACTACCATCTAGAAAAAAGAAAAACTCAATATTATCAATAACACACTGGTTGCCGGTCAACAACTCTGCGCGATACACCTTACTGCTGTTGCCGACCATGACTGTCCCCAGTATACTGGAGAGGGTCATGAGCAGAGACACTAATGTACCGCGATACCCAGTTTGAAAAGCTCTGATGCAACGATACCCAGTTTGAAAATCTCTGATGCAGCGATATCCAGTTCGAAAAGCTCTGATGCAGCGATATCCAGTTTTAAAAACTCTGATGCAAAGATACCCTGTTTGAAAAGCTCTGATGCAACGATACCCAGTTTGGAAATCTCTGATGCAGCGATATTCAGTTTTAAAAACTCTGATGCAAAGATACCCAGTTTGAAAAGCTTTGATGCAGAGGATGAATTAACATTTTACACAAGCTTCAAGAAATAAAATTATCTTCGCTGGGTCAAATCAGCCTAAAGGGCGTAGCAAGAAATATCATGTGGAGTAAATGCGCCTGGCGTGATGTTGATCAGACCAATCACAGAAGTCTACAGAAATATGAATCTAACATGTGCCCGGTGTGGCATTAATGTTAAAAAGTGTTTCTTACTTACCTGGTGCTAGGGGATCTGTCTCTGTTGGCTTGAGCACAACTGTTGATAAAGAGAAATGTGTGTGTCAGTAGGAACAGTAAAAAGATCATTTGTATTCTTTTCCTCCTGATTCTCAGCCTCTATCCTTTTCTTCTTTTCCGTCTTCTCCATCTAAGTCTACTTCATCTTCATAGTTCCTCTCCATCTACTTCACTTCCCACTACTTCACCTCCATCTACTTCACCTACCTCTACTTCACCTCCATCTACTTCACTTCCATCTACTTCACCTCCATCTACTTCACCTCCATCTACTTCACCTCCCTCTACTTCATCTCTATCTGCTTCACTTTCCTCTACTTCACTTCCATCTACTTCACCTCCCTCTACTTCACTTCCATCTACTTCACTTCCCAATACTTTACCCCTATCTACTTCACATCCCTCTACTTCATCTCCATCTGCTTCACTTCCCTCTACTTCACTTCCATCTACTTCCCCTCCCTCTACTTCAACTCCCTCTACTTCACCTCCCTCTACTTCATCTCCGTCTACTTCACCTCCCTCTACGTCATCTCCCGCTACTTCATCTTCCGCTACTTTATCTCCCTCTACTTCAACACAAGCTACTTCATCTCCCGCTAATTTATCTCCCTCTACTTCACCTCCCTCTACTTCACCGCCCTCTACTTCATCTCTCTCTACTTCACCTCCCTCTACTTTACCTTCATCTACTTCATCTACTTCACCTTCCTCTACTTCATTTCCATCTACTTCACTTCCCACTACTTCACTTCCATCTACTTCACCTTCCTCTACTTCATTTTCATCTACTTCACTTCCCACTACTTCACCTCCATCTAGTTCATCTCCCTCTACTTCATTTCACTCTACTTCACTTCCCTCTACTTCACCTCCATCTACTTCACCTCCATCAACTTCACCTTCCTCTACTTCATCTCCATCACTTCCCACTACTTCACCTCCATCTAGTTCATCTCCCTCTACTTCATCTCACTCTACTTCACTTCCCTCTACTTCACCTCCATCTACTTCACCTCCATCTACTTCACCTTCCTCTACTTCATCTCCATCACTTCCCACTACTTAACCTCCATCTACTTCACCTCCCTCTACTTCATCTCCATCTGCTTTACTTCCATCTACTTCACTTCCATTTACTTCACCTCCCTCTACTTCACTTCCATCTACTTCACTTTCATCTACTTCACTTCCCACTACTTCCACTTCATCTACTTCACCTCTGTCTACTTCATCTCGATCTGCTTCACTTCCCGCTACTTCACCTCCATTTACTTCGCCTCCCTCTACTTCACCTCCCTCTACTTCACCTTCCTCTACTTCACCTCCCTCTACTTCATCTCCATCTACTTCACCTCCCTCTACTTCAGCTCCATCTACTTCATCTCCATCTACTTCACCTCCCTCTATTTCACCTCCCTCTACTTCATCTCCATCTACTTCACCCCCCTCCTCTACTTCACCTCCATCTACTTCACCTCCCTCTACTTTATCTCCATCTACTTCACCCCCCCCCCTCTACTTCCCCTCCCTTATCTTCATCTCCATCTGCTTCACCTCCATCTACTTCATCTCCCTCTACTTCACCTTCCTCTACTTCACCTCCATCTACTTCACCCCCCTCTATTTCATCTCTATCTGCTTCACTTCCCTCTACTTCACATCCATCTACTTTACCTCCCTCTACTTCACCTCCCTCTACTTCACTTCCATCTACTCTACCTCCATCTACTTCATCTCCATCTACATCACCTCCCTCTACTTCATCTCTATCTGCTTCACTTCCCTCTACTTCACTTCCATCTGCTTCACCTCCCTCTACTTCACCTCCATCTACTTCACCTCCCTCTACTTCACCTCCATCTACTTCACCTCCCTCTACTTTACTTCCATCTACTCTACCTCCCTCTACTTCATCTCCATCTACATCACCTCCCTCTACTTCCCCTCCATTTACTTCACCTCCCTCTACTTCATCTCGGTCAGTCAGTCAGTCAGTCAGTCAGTCAGTCAGTCAGTCAGTCAGTCAGTCAGTCAGTCAGTCAGTCAGTCAGTCAGTCAGCCAGTTAGTTAGTTAGTTAGTTAGTTAGTTAGTTAGTTAGTTAGTTAGTTAGTTAGTTAGTTAGTTAGTTAGTTAGTTAGTTAGTTAGTTAGTTAGTTAGTTAGTTAGTTAGTTAGTTAGTTAGTTAGTTAGTTAGTTAGTTAGTTAGTTAGTTAGTTAGTTAGTTAGTTAGTTAGTTAGTTAGTTAGTTAGTTAGTTAGTTAGTTAGTTAGTTAGTTAGTTAGTTAGTTAGTTAGTTAGTTAGTTAGTTAGTTAGTTAGTTAGTTAGTTATTCGATAGACTGTCCTCACAAGTCCTTAAGCGCTTAGATTCCATATTCAGTATATCCTCAGCGTATGGTGACTGATAGCACCAGTTCTGTGTTAGTTTACTATTCTTTTTCGGCTACCTGCATAGTGTGCATGTTTGGCGATACCTCTCTTGACCTTAATCTCATATGTTTAAACAATCGAGACTCTATTCGATCTCCGTAATCGGTTTGTTGATGTTATCTTTGCTTTGGAGACCCGTCTTATATGGTTAGGAACTGAAACATAAACCCATCCTTTAGCGCGATGTTTTCCTCGGCAAACAAAAGTAGAGTATTGCCAGTTTCGGGAAGAAAGCATACTCCATCCTCACAACTAACAGCTGTCATGTTAAGTGAAGATCCCTTTTCACGCCTTTAGGCGCATCGAGCACATTGGAAGAGCACCCCATATTTTTTACAGACCAAAGGGCTCTAGGTGAGTAATGTGGTCAGCATTCCGCTGGCCGTCTTTACTTCTCCAGGACATACATCCTAGTACCCATTTTAGGCTGGGGCGACCTGCGACGCCTCATACCATAATACAAATCCTCGCAGCCAGCAGTGGGTTTTTATCGCGGTACATTGGAATTACAAGTCAGCCTCGCAACGCTTGAGCCACTGACGCCACATAGCCGAAACATTATATTTACTAAAGATCAGTACCTGAAAATCCTCGGAGAAATAAAGACGGATGACTGTGAGTCACCACATCGAACATTAATTGACCAGTGATCTATAAACGTCAGAAAGAGAGTGCTTAAATGTTACTTAGAACCTGTTCTGCTGTATGGCAGCGAATCTTGGAATGTCGCTGAACAAATTAAGAAGAATTCAGAAGCAACAGAGATGTGGTTTCTGAGACGAATGTTGCAAAAACCCTAAATGGCCTGAGTAACTAACAACGATTGGAAGGAGCCAAAAAAAAGTAGATTTTGATATACAAGAATAAGAAAGAGATAAACACTGTTCCTTGGCTACATAATGAGAAGAGATACATTGGAGAACATCGTGACAACTGGAAAGATCAGTGGGAAAAGGGGTAGAGGCAGACCAAGAGAGATGATGCTGGATGGGCTTAAACGATGGCATGGAGGGATATCATAAAGAGAGCTGTTCCAGGCAACCAGAGATCGTGATCTGTGGAGACACATGAGCACCTACGCCAGCTGTCAGGGCACATGATGATGGTAATGATGATTATAATGATGATGATGATGATGATGATCTATGAAACATTAACTAAGCATCACACATCCAATCTATTTCAAGGTGCGAAAACTTATGGTTTACTTACGTTCAGTTAGTTTACTTTTCAAATCCTTTTTCCATTGGCAAGGCTTACATTTCTGTAACTTCAGTGCTAATTCTAGTTGCTCGGGGCTGTCTAAGAAACAAGACATTGAAAACTCCCATGAGATGCATATCTTCAACATCTAGTTGTCATATACATCTTCTTTCTTCTTTGCGTTCACCGGCTGTAAACTCCGGCGAAACGTTTTTTGTTGTTGGTCCACTTCAGGACTGCAGTCCTGTTTCAGAACCTGGGTGTTGTGTGCGCATCCGTTTGACATATCTGACTTATTTGTGAGCAGACTTTTGGTTCCTCGCCTCTTAGGCAGATGAACTCTGACTTTGAAGGAAGCTCCCAATTAGTCGACTATTACGACATGCTTTTGGGTAGGCTGTGGGTCTATTCTTGTTTTCCCTGAACCCACAGGGGGGAGTGGTCAGAAACTGGACTCTGAGCTTGTGTTTAATAGGGACTGTGTCTTCCTAGTCATTTATTACATAGTGAAAAAACTGTTAATAAAATTGGTGGACGCAGTAGGATATACCGCGTTTCGCAAACAAAGGGATCAGACAAGTGACAGGAAACATATTATGAACAGCATTTGTATACCAACACTATGCTGCTAACACTAGACTTGCACTTTATCAAAGGCTAACTATATAAATTTAACACCTTAGATGCCTGAGAAAAGCCGCCAACTTGACCATTCGAGACAAAGATAGAAATAATATTGTCAATTTGTTTGAAGAACACTATGGGCTAAATACATTGAGAAACAGATGATCAAATGGTTTGGTCATCTAGTAAGAATTCAGCCATAGCAACTACCAACACAGGCACTACACATGACAAGATATGATGTGATAGCAAGAGGTTGCCCTAGGAAACATGAATTGATGACATTAAATAGCTTTTATATAGACACGGAATGATAATAGCTGTTGCTGCCCATCAAATAATGGACCGCAGTTTCTCCCCACAACACACAGAAGTGGAAACTGATAATGACGATGACTCGCCTTCCTATTTATTTACTACACATTGAAGAAAAGTTTTATAAAAATGTGTGGAAGTAGTAGGAAATCACGCGTTATGCAAACAAAAGGATCTGGTGGCTAATTTTAGGCTTCTGTGGGGAGGTGTACAGCGCAACAAGATACAACGTGATCTATATGTTTCAGTTAAATGTATTTACGTTTACCGAGGCCGACCTCCGCTAACGTGGATACAAGAAACTGAATATTAAATGGCTATGAAAGCACACAGGGCTGGAGATTTGCTGGACAAAGAGAAACCTTCAGCGAGCCGTGAAGAGAGCGACGTTCTGTGAAGGACCTGCTTATTGATTGACTGATTGATTTATTGACTGGTTACTAGGGCTGTACCGAATATTCGCTTCGTGTTCGCTTCGGAGCCGAATAGTTGACCGAATGACTATTCGGTATTCGACCGAATAGTTGCGGTCGGGCCGAATACGAATAGTGGTTACCTTACACTCATTTCTGCATACGCTGCGATGGACTGAAATAATTCGCTCAACACAATAGTTGCTGTTGCCTAAGTTTGTAGTAGCGGGAAAACTGCGACCCGGTTGAGTGGTACAGCAGCTAGCAAGCTCTTGCCTGCTGACTCGACCGAGGTATTATAGCAAAGGTTCTCAAACTGTGGGCGCATGCTAGAGGTGCCGGGGCGAAAATCAAGAAAAGTCGGCTAAAATTGTACAATTATTAAAGAAGACACAAAGATACTTGAGATACTTTCCTCACCACTGTCGAAAAAAGCACAGGCGACTGGCAATTTCTGCATTTTTTTAAATGAAGAACATCTAATGCAATATATCTTTGCAATTGAAGGTTAGAAAAATAATTCTTGCTTGCTACTATTTTTCTCCTATTTTTCCAGTTTTAACATGTGGTTGTAAGTCCTGGACAATCGGTTGGCAGGCAAAACAATTTCTCTAGGCTTCAGAGATGTAGTTTTACAGAACAATGCATAAAATACCTTGAACAGCAAAAAAAAAAAAAAAGCAACCAATAGGTTTTGAAAGAAGCGGGAGCCCGAAGACAACTAATCACAGACATCAGAAGGAGACAGTCATCATTTTTCGGCCATGTTATGAGAAGAGGGAAAATGGAACATGTGGTGACCACTAGAAAGATCTGTGGAAGGAGGGATAGAGGAAGACAAAGAGAGAAGATTCTTGACAGTCTTGTTGCATGGCATGGAGGTGTGTCAGCACACGAACTAATACATGCTGCAGCAGATCGCAGATTGTGGTGAGGCATAATCGCCCACGTCGGTCGGCAAGGTACCTGATGATGATGATACACTATTCGTATTTGTATTCGGCCGAATAGTTGGTCCCACTATTCGTATTCGGCCATATAGTGAAAATCCCTATTCGGTACAGCCCTACTGGTTACACACAGTAAATGTTTTACTAAACTTTCTTCATCGCCTCTCTAGAAAGGGATATTGTGTTATATTCAGACTAAGGACAGAGCCCAATAGACTTCGCCAACACATGTTCACACTTTTCGGTGTAGGAAACACGGAGACTTGCCCCATCAACTTAGCACCAGAAAATGCCGACTATGTGCTCCAACCACGTCAACTGTATAACAATTAAATAATGCTTGTCCACGTTTTCAGGCGTGAAGGGCATATAGGGCTAGACCTATATTATATATCCCATCAGCACAAGTTGGGTGATATGGTCAGCATCGCGCCAACCGCCTTTTACTTTTCGGGACTGCACCCGGTACCCACTGAAGGCTGGATCGACCTGGGGGATGTCAACGGTATGCTGCCA